CCTTACGGCGGCCACAAGGTACTGGGGGTGAGTGTTCGTCAAACCTGCCATTCGTCTTCTCATAATCCTTGGGGTCGAGGAAAACCAGTGATAGTTTATACCTTGAATCCACGAGACTTCCGGCGACCACGAGCCTTTTCGCGCTTGCGACCGATAGAGCGAACGCGGGGCCTAGTATCGGAGTCAGGAACACCGGGAGCCTTGCCGAAGTAGCGCTCGCAAGTACGGGACTTGGTGGCACCACGGAGGAGAACGGTGTTAGAGCCAGTAGGAGCCTCTGAGAAGCAAAACAAAGTGCAAGCTAGACGGACGAAATTGGAGAACATCACAACGACTTTAAAATGCGAGAGAATCCTCAGATTTGGTAAGGGTATCACCAGAATATAGGTCTGTTAACCGCATCAGATTAAATCTCATCATTGAAACTCAGTCACATTCATTCCCACGAAAAGCTGAGGAGACGGTCCCTTATACTTACTGAGAGCCAACTGGTCGAAGGTCATGCAAGAGCCACCAGCCTTGACGATACGGGCACGAGCGGTCTCAGAGAAACGGAGAGCGCAGACGGTGAGCTGGGGGACCTCGAATAGACGGGCGTCGTCGGTGATAGTGCCAACAACAACAGCGATCTTGTCCTCCTTGCCCTTCATGTGGCGAGCCAACTTGGAGAGGGAGAGAGTAGGACGGTTCCTCCTAGAGGTCTGGAGACGCTTCAAGATAGTAGCATTGAAGCTAGACTCCGTACGACGAGCCAAGAAGGAGTAGAGCTTGCAGAGCAGGCGGATGTAGGGGTTCTCAGTCTTGATGGTCTGACGACCGGGCTTCCTCACGCGCCCACCAGCCTTTAGATCAATACCCATGGCGAATGGATTAGTACCTGTGCTCAACAGATCGGCCACAGCTGCGGATCATCGATCATGTGATCGATGTGAGGAGCGTCACGGCGGAGCGATGCGATACTGCGCAAGATTCAGTTGACCCTACGCTGCCCTCCCATAGGCCTCAACGCGTCATGGGGTGGCTACAGCTGGGTTTAAGACACCAATGCCGCAAATGGTTTTCATAATACGGGCCCAAGGGACTGTTCCTCTACGACCAAAATGTCGATTCAACCCCTATCGTTTACCTCGGAGGGTAAAAGCCTTACGGTCTCATTAACATTGTCAGGTTACTCCCTTTGAGAGAACACGCACGCAAATTTAACTCGCACGCCGCATACGTGAGGACAATGACGACACTAAGGAGTTCTCAACAGTGAGCTGAGTTTGTATGATAACTAGACAACACGAGGGCACGAGATGTACTCAGATGAATAGCAGATCTGCTCGCATGGACAGCCATTGAGCACACTATATATAGTGCACATTTGATATGCAAACCGCGAAGTCTTAACTCAGGAGCTACTCGTGATCTCAAAGCGACTAAAAACTCCCCACAGGTGTCATCTGCCGAATCAATTGGTACGTACGGGGTTTCCATGCCCGACCTTAACACAATACAAGTACTGTTACACGCAATGAGATTACTGAATGTCATAGAGCCCCAGCAGGAATCCAGACAGCAAGCAGTACTCAATTAAAACAAGTCGATATCGACTTCACGTATATAATTGATAAATGGGGTTCAAGAGGTATGTTCGTTATCCTAATTACGCAGCGAGACAAACGAACCGGCCGATCTAGACGAAGCCTTGGCAGCAGTTGCCGCAGTCTTCCCGCTCTTTCAAATGGAGCCCTTCACGGACTTCTTGGCACTGCGACCAGCAGTAGAGGCCTTCTTGACGACTCTCTTCTTCCCCTTGGATGCAGTACGCTTGACAGCTTTCTTAGCGAACCTTGAGGGTCTAGCCATTGTGAACGTAAAGGTTCGCAGAATTGAAGTATGCTGCAAGCGTATCACTCTCGGGGCTCAGGGATCAGCACTTCCTATGGACCCTAAGACATAGGCTTAGACCCTATACTTCTGTTGGGTACTGTAAGAGCTTCAATTGACGAGCCGCAACCGGTGTTCGAGTTTAGGGCGAGCGAGAAATGAATTGTGCCGTTACTTTTTCCCTGCAAGTTGTTCGCCCATAGTTGTTTTCTTGTATAGCCATCCCAGAGTGTAGCCTTTTCCTTTGTCGAGTACATTATGCAAGGCGTCGTTCATCCTCCAATCTCCACTACGTCCTTCTACCAGTCCTCTACTACCTCTGGGTATCGAGGAGGGTTCGTCACTCGGTGGCCGAACATTCGGTTGCCAACCGCCACCGAGTCAGCTCCTGCGGCTAAGCTAGCATCTACCAGGGGAAAATACCCGTCGGCTTCTGGCCAGTTATGTCTCAATTTCACTAGGACCGGGTATTGTCGTTACGGCGATCAGTGCTACCACTATCACGATCGCAATTCAGTAGCTTTCTGTAAAGGGTGGTTAGCTAACGGGACCTGTTCGCGTGGTGGGAGGTGTACACTCACTCATCCCGATACAGCGGGATCAAAGGACCCTCGGAGAACTCCAGAATGCGGAATATTCTTACGGCATGGCACATGCCCGATGGCTGGCAAATGCCAGTATTTGCACGTTAATAAAAAGATTGATACGCCTGTCTGCAAGTCGTTCGAAAAGATTGGATTTTGTGATAAGGGTAAGAACAGCATCAATTTAGCACTAATATGAGGGGCGCGGTTTCCTGTTACCTCTCAGAACTTCCCGGACCGGATATTGTTCTTGTGTTTTACGTCAGGCTCTACGTGTGAGAAGCTCCATTACACTGCTCCAATACGGCAACTCAAGCGGGAATCCTCCGATGAATCGTCTGGTGACAGTAGCCAACCAGCAGCTAACCCGAAGAAGCGGGCCAAGGTCCCGAGCAAGGCGGAGATCGAGCGGAAATTGGATGAAGAATGTATACTGGCATGGGAAGCTGGGAAGCTCATGAAAATGTACGATTGAACAATGTACCATGTGAGGTCTTCACCGTCGAGGCAGCAGTGCGTCATGGAAACCACCGCCACCACTCACTGTTGTCAATGCCCGGGAATGACTCATTTATACCAAGTTGTGTAGCATTTCCCCCTTGTGTGGAATCCTGATAGCAGTAGCTGTTGTGTTCATAGTAGTATCTATGGTTGGAGTTACACAGTTGAACTCGGACGAATGATTGAGGCCTCAGCGGTCATAAGCGAGAGAACTGCTCAGTAACGGTACACTGGCACGACCGAAATTAAACAACCTTAGATACTTCGAGGGTAAAGCTGTTTGGGTAGTCGGCGCCTCGTCTGGTCTGGGAAGGGCCATAGCGACACACTTGATAAAGAGCGCGAAGCCACGGTAGACCCGATCAGTGCGCAAGGCATGATCTTGGTTGCTTTAGTGTGTTGGTGGTGAGTGCTCGACGGAGAGCGAGGCTAGAGGCATTGAAGGAGTTAGCGGCTGCTGTGAATCCCGCGGTAGTACTACTAGCTTATCGTTATATTAGGCGCGGCCCGCTTCTTTTCAACGGCTTCTTATACTCTCATGAATCCACGGCGACGAGGATCTCAGTGTCGGTTTACTTCAGCACAGTGGTGCCTCTTTCTAGGTGGCAGTCGAGACCATACCAGTAGACTTGGCTGGATCCTCTGATGAGCAGCTATCAGCCATTGCTGCGACCGTCACGTCGCTTTGTGGAGGTACACCCCTTTCTGAGCATGCTGAACTTGATCTAGTCCCATCAGATGAAGGAGTTGACGTCCTGTTCAACTGTGCTGGAGTTGGCTATCGTGGGACAGCCCTAGACACTTCAATGGAGGTATCCATCAGTCATTCAGAGAGCCGAGATTTCCCGAGGACTCCACCTTTGACCTCTCAGGTGCTTCGTGAGCATATGCAAGTGAATTTCTTCGGTCAAGTTGCTATCGTCAAAGGTCTACTCCCAAAATGGTATGAAACGGCTAAGTGTCGAAAGTTTCCTCCTCACTTGGTACAGGTAAGCCCACTTGAGCTCAATTCAACTAAGGCAATATCTTTGCAGGTCTCTAGCGTCCAGGGGAAATTCGGCCAGGGTGGTCGTTCCGCGTACGCAGCAGCCAAGCACGCACAGCTCGGGTAAGGCATCGCATCAAAGGGTACCGATGCATTGTTATTTCATCAGGTATTTCGACAGTCTCCGCGCAGAAATGGAGGCCGGTGGCATTGGTCGCGTGACTATGTGCTTGCCTGGTTATATCAACTCTGAGCACTCCGAGAACGCTATGCTCAGTGATGGCTCGAAAAATGGTGTACATGATCAGAACGCAGCCAGTGGATCAAGCCCCGAGTAGAAAACCCTCGAGCTTTCAGTCGAAGTGATGTAACTTATATGATGAATGATGGAACTAAGAACTCGGATATGATTCCTCACGAACATCTTATGCTCCGAAAAGCCCCTCAGTCGCCCATGCCAAATTACGAGTTTACTGTTGGAATTTACTGGATGTTCTTGGGACATCAAGCATTATGTTTGTTATCAACAATAGACAATCATGATCCTACAATTAGTAGGATTCAAAGCACTAGTGACAAATTGTCAGCAATGAGTCCATAGTACTATCGACTCATTGCTTCAGTGGGAATCTATCTCTCTAGTCTAGATGTCCCTCCTTCCTGTTGCTAGATTGCCAGAGTATCATACCCATCTTTCCCCAACTTCTATTCTCAGATAAGCCCTCTGGTCAAGGGCCTTGAGTCAAGGCCCTTGACCCAAGGCTATGCACATCACTCTGACTTGCCCACACTATATCATGTCATGCTTACAGGTACGTCGCGAACGACATCCTCTCCAAGGTAGCCTGCGGGTATCGTGAAGTTGTAACCAGTCAAGCCAGCGGCAAATTAGCTATTGTATTTCGGAATATAATTCCAGAAGTAACACTATCCGAGGAGTACACTATGCATCGCCATTCCCTCAGTTGTTCCTCAACAAGATGGCCCGACGGTATGGCAAGAAAATCAATGACCCCTCTCCAACCCCCTCGTCGTTGAAACGCCTCGTCCCCTACGTTTGTGTACTTGCTGTATTAACGACGTTGTCGTTATTGTTCATATATTGAAGTATTTGTTATCGTCGACTAGTCTTAGTCTCCGATCTCAAAATGTTGCTATGTTTACTAGTGTAACACTACAAGGGACGATAGTGTGAAATGAGACATCATATTCGTGGGTAACGGAGATTCAGCATCCACCACAGACGCCTCGTCGAGTCACACTCTGTACACCCGCCGCTAGCATTATTGCTCCTGCACCCGTTGGGTCACAATCACCTGAGCGACAAACATGGAGGTCTTCATGGCAGTGCTGGAATATATGTTCGGTTTCCTCAGCCAAGCTCAGGAGTTTCCTCACTACACTATGAGAATTCCAACCCAGTGTAAGCGAAAACCAACAAGAATTTCCAAAAAAATCCATCAGAATCCTCTTACCCTCAATACGCGTGGCTAACTGAGTGCGTAATTCCCTGCATTGTTTATTGTACCCACCCGGAAGTCCTTGAGGAGAGAACCGTCGATCGTTCTCATTTGCTCGTTGCACAGCAGCGGTCCCGGCAAGCTCGAAGACTTGACGTACTCCCGACCCGTTCTCGGCGGAAGCCATGACCACGGGGTAGTCGGCACAGCAGGGATACTCCTTGCGTATTTCCGTGATTAGCTCAACCACGTCAGACTCCGTGAATGCATGCTCGGGGAGGTCTGTTTTGTTTGCGACGAAAACGAACGGGAACTTCTCGGCTGAGGAACTGACCTCATTCCGGGAGATACCATGGCGGTGGGCTCACGCTCATCAGGATCGGCATGCTTGAGGAAATCGCGCCTCCAATCGAGGACATTCTTCAGCCCATATTGTCGGGAAACATCACAGACCAGAATGCAAGCATCAGCTCCCCGATAGAAGGATGCTCCCAGTGATCGGAATCGCTCCTGTGAATGAATGATGAGGAATCCACATCATGGTTTCTCCCCTGCCTGTCCAGCCGTATCCCAGATTTGCATGTTTACAGTGCATCGATAACCCGCTACCAAATCAGGGATAATATCCAACTTTTTGCTATAGAAGTCCGCCCCCACTGTGGGCTTGTAGCTGTGATGGGAAAAGCTACCGTGCATGTATCTGTCGAGACTCATACCACACCTCGTTAACATCACTATACCTCTGTATGAGAGAGGTCTTCCCAACTGCCGCATCGCCTAATATGACCACCTTGATGATTTTCACTATGGCCGGTGCCGTCGTCGGGTAATTCCTCAAGATACCTACAGGCTAGCGAGGGCAGGGCGGCCGCAGCGAACTCGGATCGTGGATACTTCAAAAGTATTCAAGTACCAGTTCGGGCTTCGGTTCGTTTTAAGGCTTCCTCACCGAATCGATGGTTACAGTCAAGCTACCGAGTCAAGGCCCTTGACTCAAAGGAACACTTCCAGTGTCAATTTCGTCCTGATACTATTCTCACTATGAGAAACCACCTTTCGGATTGAATGCCAATTGTCGGCCATTGTACAAAGAAGTGCAATAGACTTCCAGTCAGCTTACAAAAACTCAATAGAATAGCCCAGGTAGAACGTGGCTACCTGTCGCAGAAATCAAGTCCATACCTCGAGAACCTCGCTGGGCATATTCTCTCGGGGACGACATAACAGCTATGCTAGATACACCAGGAGCAAGCTTCCTTTCTTCTCCTTCCTCTTCACTGGTGATCGGACTCGACAGCAGGCTACTCGATCGATCCTCCTCGGGGCTCTCACTGGACGACGTTAATCCCAGCCCACCCTTCTCACTCGACTCATCGTCCTCATCGTGAGGACTTGGTACCTTCATAGCTGCAACCGAGAAGCAGATCAAACGACACGAGACGATGGGGTACGTGATGAGAGTATAGTATGTCTACTCTACGACAACTCATCGTATGACAAATACCCATAATAGACCGACACTTCAGACACCCCGTGAGTTCCTTGAGAGACGACTTGCTCACCGGAATGCTGTTCACAGGACTGAATGTGCTCAGTGTCGGTATATGTAGGCTCTCTCGATGCACTGTCAACAGCTTTCGGGCCTACGTTCGGCAAGTCTTCGGTAAGTTAACGACACATTCTCCCAAAAGGGTTGCGATTCAAGAGGAAACGAATCTTCTCACTGGTGCTATCCTTCGAGTCGGACAGTTCTGTTGCCAAGGAGAGCCCAGTCGACCCCCCAGAAATACTGACGTCGTCCGAGACGGCCATGACGGTAAACACACCACTACAGGTTTTCGAGTTCGCATCTATATATTGACAAGGGAGTATACGACTTCACTTGAAAACCAGTGACCAGTGATCGATCTCGGCACTCACCAGAAACGACGTCAATCACATACGTTACACTACTAGGGTTACATACCACTTAATAGCTAACAACTCCGGGCTGTCACGCTGACTGCAGTCACCTCCTCGAAATCTACGTCAATACACTAATTTTCCGATGTGGATATTAATTCACAACACAACCAGATGAGATCGAGACGATAACCTGTTCTCTATCCTGACTGCATAACTCGCTATCCTCTGAGGGAAAAAGTGCGAGCTACTAGAGAATGTACACTGGCCGAGCATTTCGCCCTAGGCCAGATAACAACATTTATGGTGAGCGCCGTGATCGTGGCATTGCCGTGGTGGAGCAATGACAAATACAACAAACACCACCAGAATGTCCTACCAGAGAAATGCTATCCCCATTTCTCTAGATAGGAAACAAAGAAGGAGTGAGGGCACGAAGCATAATACATAAAGCAGAGTTAACCAACAATAGTACTACGGCTCGAGTTCAACAACATCGCCACTAGTCGAACGAGCACATACATGTCGACTTAAGAACTGCTTTTCATAGAGCTCATGCCTCGGTCTTAATGAGGACAGAGAGTCTGCATCGCTGCGGCTGTGTGTACACTGGGGTTACATAAAAACGCCCAATGTTGCAGCTTGCAGAAATATGTGTAAATTACCGAATGCCGTGATCTGTGTAAGGACTATCAGTAATATAACCCTTTATAGAGCCTCTACTACTAGTAGTAGGAGTCTACCGTCACTTACTTCTGAACAGTAAACAACTACTCGTGTGTGTGAGTACAAAGTATACTACTACAAACACACTGAGAGGATTCTAAGGGGAAAGGGGTAGGTAAAGTTGGTTCTAGAAATACGAAGCGAAAATCAAATAGGCTCTGGCCTTTCTTCTATACAGGGAGCAGAGCAAGAATGGGAGACATCACTATCAGCACTGTTGGCTCGGCAGAAAGAGCCGACGGTTGACTTTGAGATACCACTCGTTATGTCGAGTACGAGTTGTCGTCACCACAGAGACGTACAACTTATCTCGAGAAGTGGTTGCAAGAGTCCACAAGATCATATACCCCTTGAAACTCACAGTATCTAGAGCCTGCCAATGAGCCTTAGAGCAGGAGTTAAGAATGGATACTGCAAGAAGAAGAAGAGGCAGCAGTCAAATAGAGCTGATTAAGCTAACAGGAGTGATAGAGGATATCAATGGACGACATTGAAGCCGTCGAGTAAGACGAGTGCAGCGAAAACTGGGACGGAGAAACGACAGTAGCAATACACTGCTACTTGCAGTAAGTACTCTGTCTCCAGATATCCAAGGCAGTGGAGAAGGGGCCATAGTGATTATAGCACAAAAACACAGCAATACGCCGTACTCGTCAACAAAGAAGACTGTGTGGCCAGCAGCGAACACGTCATCACAGTGTTACCAACTTGAATAGAATGACTTCAAGTATGCCGCGTAGATTGATTATAATAGTAGTAGTATCCATTCCCATAGGCATGATAAATGGACCATGCGCCGCCATTTTACACCGCCGCGCAGATTGCATCAGTGCTGCCCTCGACCCCCACGGGCTTCCATCGGCAAAGTGGACACGAGAAGTCATCTCCCTCGTGCTTGATCCACTCCACAAGGCATTTGTCGTGATACGAGTGGCCGCAAGGCAAAGTTCTGCACTGAGGCTCCTCACACTTGGCAGACTCCTCGCATGCGTCAAAACTGCTCACGACAGTCTCCAACGAACTGATAGTGCTAGTCGACGAGATGCTCAGGTCACTCGCAGGCAAGTTCAAAATGGACGAAGTAGACGCTGAGGAGAGCTTGCGCTCAAAATTGAAGTCGCCTAAGCAGATCGAGCATGAGCCACCACAGGGAGTGCACGTCACAGGCGCAACCCTATCAATATCAATGGTGACTTTCTTGCTGACCTTCTTCTTCCTGTCACCTCTGGCGATTGCTAAACGAGCGGCTCGAGAGTAGGTCGGCCTCGTCAAGAAGACCACCACAGCGAGTGTAGCACAGCCCGCCAAGAGCACCAACCAGAGACCGGAATGGGTGACTATGAAGAGAATCAGTGAGAGGAGACCGAGCACCGCGAACATTATGGACATATAGATATGCGCGCTCATGTGCGTTAGTGATGCCCAGCGTATCATGTGACCAGCCCGGCTCGACGACGACGACGACGATGATGAAAGTGCATCGGACATCCTTGCTATGGATGGGGCAGGGTGGTGCCACGGAACGGTCGATAAGTGGACACCGTAAACTGAGATAACATCATTACATTGCAAGATACGCCACTAACTCGCTCCTGACGATGACAAGTCGACGACGCTCCCAACGCTACGGGGACAGGAGCACACAAAATCCATTATCAACCTATGACAATTGCAGACAGGAAGGCCAACACAATGAGGTATTCTCAGAAACATTCACAACTCATCATGGGACCACAAGAGCATCCACCGTATACCGTAAAACCGACACTTCCGAGCGTGTACTGCCGACCAGGCCGCGGCCTCCAACCACAGCGTTGAGACACTCTAACACACTCTCCTGAATGAGCGACGGAGCCACCACATCATCAGCACTTATAGCGCTGTTCAGGGCTTCCTTCACGATGGACAACTCTGCCATAGTGAAGGCCTCTAGATTGACCAATGGCAATACGTGTACAACATTACGCCTTCCAGGAGCACTTCGTAAGGCCCCTCGCGAAACCATGGTTAATACTCCCATAGGGCAGTGACCGTCCAGAGCAAGTCCTCGCGCCCATCTCGCCAGTCGCTCGGGGGCATACTGATATAGTTGCATCACGCAACCGTCAATAGAATAGCAACTCGGATCGTCACGGTAGTTCAAAGACAATGACCGTGAACATGCGAGATGCCGTAGTCGCTGCAGACGAGTTAGAGACCCGAAATCAATACTGGGCAATTTCATAGCATCTCCCCGCAGACCCAAGACGGCCAACTCCTCCAAATGAGATAGCCTCTCAGCCGTTGTCGAGTCCCCCGAGCGGAATTTCTCGGCGATCAGATCTGTGAATTCGACCATATTATCGATCGTTTGCCTCTCCATTGCTGCGAGAAATCCCGTGCAACACTTCGCAGTCAACACAGTCTTCCTCAGCGCCTCAAGTAGTGCCCTCCGTTGGCTCTCCGAAAGCGATAACGACGAGCACGCACGAATCACATGCAGCAAATCATTGAAATGCAGTTGCTCGGCAGCTCGGCATGCCAATGGGACCAGCTTATCAAGGTAGGCAGCATGCCGGTGTGAATTGGAAAGCGCTGAGAGCATCAACGCCGCATCCCTCGGGTCTAGCCCAGCCGCTCTCGAAGTGATCCACTCCAACAGTACCCGGCGAGAGGCAGTTTCCTGGTCGACCGGCACAACCCCTTCAAGGGAGTGGTAAATTGAAACGGCAGAGGGGAGATCCAAAACTTCATAATTCACCAACTGTTCGAAATGCTCATCAACATACCGGCAACCCGCGACAGCAATTTCACTAAAATCGTCACCGCGTCTCGAAATTTTCCTCAACGCCCTCAGCGCCGTCGAGAGCTCTCCAATAGGCAAATGCCTCGCCCCCATCTCTGGAAACATGCAACTCGTCAGTTTCCGCCACAGATTCGCGTCGCCCAACTCCAAGGCCCGCCATCCCGTGCATGCAGATGCATATCTGTTTACTGTTCTCCGGTTCTCTCGTTAACCCTACCGATACCCCCTCCACCACCCAAGTAAAATCACCAAAGTCAACCGCACCACTTTCTGATATTTCCAACGCATCGAACGCCGCATTGAGGATACATGCATAGTCCTGCAGAGTAGGGGAAGGCTGAGAGCTCAGGGGCGGCCTCAAGTGGCCCTCGAGAGTCTCTGGCGGCAACAGCCCAGCCCTAATACACCGACCAACCGCTCTCGCAACCATCGCATTAAATCGATACTCCTCCCTGGACGACTCCATCCCAGCATACCTCTGAAACAGCATCGCCAATATGCCTCTTCCTTCACTGCTCAACACAGCCTTCCCCGACACTATAGACATCTGGACTAGAGCGTTGAGGAAGAGTGAGAGCTCTTGCCGCTGGAACGTCCCACGACCTTGCCCCGGCCGATTCAAACAAGCTAATGCTTGTTTCAGCAGAAACTCTGCCAGTCGCACATCAACACTTGGTAGCTTCGAATAGGTCCCAGCGATCGAGCTCAACCCTATAGGTGACATTTGCTTCCTCATTTTCATCAGCGCCTCCGAGGCTGCATTAAATACCGGAAGCTCCCACATTTCCAGCCGAGCATAGGCCTGCACCGTATTGCACAGTTCTTGCTCACCAAACTCAGCGAGTCTATCAGGGAGGACCCTAGCCATCTCCCGCATCACCTTCCGTCCACATCCCATCGGCAACCTCGAGAACCCCGAGGCTACTGTGGCGAACTCAATTGGCTGAAACCGTCCCACTTCCGGTAGAAGCAATACCTCCCCTATAAATTTCGTCAGATCCTCATACCCTCGACCGTCCTTAGTAATCTTAGCCACTGCACCAACCAGCACAGCCGCATCCCTAGGCGACCACCTACTACTTAATGCTCCCTCAACGAGGTGTTCTTGCAAGTTGTCGAGAAATGCCTTCACCGCAGTCCTTCTCGAATTGGCGTTAAGGTTCCCTAAAGACGCCAGGAACTGGGCCAAGTACCCCGGAGTGAACAAGAGGATATTCTCAGACGCGTGTGCGGCAGCAGCCTCGCATAGCCGATCAGCCTCCCTCACCCCTCCTCTAGCTACAGCGTTCAGCAGTGCCGTCAAATCCGAGGGATGCAACTCCGTCACGCGCCGCAAAATTTCATCCCGCACAGTAGCCCACAGTCGACCAGCCCTGTCAAAATCAGCCCGGCCCTTCACCGCTGCCAACACGTGTTGCTTCAGCTCCTCATTGGAGAGCCCTTCGATCCGCCCAGGCGTGAGAGCCGCTAAGACCTCTGCTTTCCGCAGCTTACTGCCGTCCCTTCGCCCTTCCCAAGTGAACAACAACCGTCCATCTGGCACTCTCTGGACCAACGTCGAGCAGTTACGACACGAACAACAAAAAGGGAAGGAAATACCACCGTTGCTATACCCCCGCCGAGCCGACCTCTCAACGATTGATGACATACCAAAATTAGCCAACAACAAATATAAAACCAAAAATTTCACACTTTGACACATGTAATACGTATCCATCACAAAAGCAGTGTTGGAGTATTTGCCTGCTTTCCTCACCTGAGCTCCTCACAAGTTTTCTCACAAATTACATTAATCAACTTAGAGGTCTACAGAAACCAACAAGTATTCCCAAAAATTCCTCAAAATTTCCATACTGCACAAGAGCCCCCCAACTCAGCACATTATAACTACAGATAAATGCCATCCCCTTCACTCGTCTTCGCACTCTCACTGCCCTTGGGTCCCAACGGCAATTTGATTTTCGGCTGACCGCAACAGCCCTCTTCCTCCGGCAAGCCCAGCTTCCTATTTATAGCCCGTAACGTGCGGAACTTCCGCTCCAGCACGTCCATGTTCTCCTCAATGTAGGAATATCTGAGAACTCCTATAGCGGACCCTTCAACACTAATTCTGCATCCTTACAATTCTCGAGCTTCCGTCAAGTCCTCGCTCGACGCCGACCTGATCTCTTCCGCCATCACATCATTGGACTCATCTAAACACAGGACCAGCGTCACGCGCCACGAAATTACACCTGTAAGGTCGTCATTATTACATAACTTTTCAATAGCCACCATAACGTCCTTCCGTAGTTCCAACAGCTCTTCCTCATGATTCGGCAAGGCTTCTTCCTCTCGGTCACTTTCAGTGGGAGACACCTCCCTTGTCGTCGGCGGTGGGGGAGCTGGTGGACGCTGTACCATTATCAACTTCACAGCTACCGCATCCATACCACACCAACCCGAACCCCCGATAGAAATACAGTGACCCCTCCAACCCAACAAGACATAACAAAGTAAACTCGTATCGAGTAACTACTACTCAGAAGCTCCCGCCCTTCACATCGCCATCAGGAGCCTCACAGGCTCGGTCTACTGTACCCCTTGCCACCCTGATAGTACTGAGTCGGCGGACCTAAAAAGACCACGATAATTTCGTGGCGCGTGACGGTAACCACCCCCACCTCCCTTCTGCCTCTTTGAAGCGTCATAAGCTCCGCTATCATACGGTCGCTTGTACCTGACCGCCACCCTCCCCCCCGACTGACAGCCATGCACCCATCTTACGCGTAGTACTGCTGGGATTGAGGACCTCCATTGGCGTATCCTTTCCCCCCAGATTGATATCTGATGCACACAAATCCAAACACCCTCCAAAAGCCTCCCACTACCCTCTTTGGAACTGCTGACCACCTCCGGACCCTCGACCATCCACAGCTGGATTATCTGACAACATACCATAAACCGAGCACTTCCTATTCTCCCCAGCATTACATCGTGCATGATACGGTCCACTGTGTGGTTGATAAGGCTGATAACCCTTGCCACTGCGAGAGTAGTCCATCGGCCGTCTGCTTCCTCCCCCCTTCCCATAATGCGACACAACCGGCTGGATTACCCTCAACTTGGCGCTCTCATCCCCAGCGCTTATCTTAGCCTCCCTTTCCCTCCTCGCCGCCTCCGTCAAGCGTATAAACGTCGACAGCGGTGCATCGATGTCATGCACAGCTTTCAGTACTCCATCCTTATCGATCATAATAGTATCCACCAGCAAAGTGTCGAGTATTTGCTCCAGACTATGAGCACCATAAAGGGAGGGCACCAACACCCCCCGCATAACGTAAGTCTGGTAGTAGTGCTGCAGTAACGATTTGTGAATACCCTTCATATCGGCATCCTTCGAAGTCGCATCACGCTCAAAGGCGTGACATATAAGGTGAAGCTCATACCGTAAATTCATCAATTGCCAATCCACCAGCTCAAACTTGCCGAACAAAGGTGTCTTCTTAGCATCAACGTCGCACACATCCTCCGGTACCCACACATCCACCTCGGCAGGTGCAGCCTCTACCATTTTAGCATCTGACCATGTACATGCGTGCAAAACCCCCACTACAAAATCCCCAATCGTAGCCTCCTACCCTCCGTGGCCTCCTCCTTCTCCCCTTCGTCCTCCTCCTGTTGTTTAGCCTTCTCCTCTGTCTGTGCCTTCGCTTGCTCCTCCTTATACAGCCTCTGAGCCTTCCTCCATTCCAGCTTGGTATTCATCCACGCCTCCATTTGCTGCTTAAACCAGTCCGTCGGTCCAGTAATACTCGGCACCTTCTCCACAATCTTATGGGACTTTATCCACGACTGTAGCCTCCTATAATGCAAGCCTCACAACTACCGCTGCGCCACAAAATTCCCTACTGTGTCGCTACCGCCCTGTCGTCCCACACAAACTTGATACTGTCGAATGCCAGCAGTCCTCGAGGAGTCTTCTCACTCCCTTGCGGCAACGTAAAGGAAAGATAACACTCCGACAGAGCCTTGTGGCTAATGTCGCTGAAGAGCATCTTCCTATAGCAACCTTCTGACCTGAAATAACAATAACATTCTCATTAATAAGGACACAACCGAAACCGATATTAGCAGCCGGAGCCATTTGAGATCTCACATAACTACGAACTGATGCCCGGTGTAGGGTAGAGGCTTATGACTCATCCATCGTCACTCATAACATATGAGTGATGATGAACAGGTTTCATACTCTGTGACATCGACAAGGGAAAGAATGTATCCTAAACCTTGACGACATAAGCCATCGATCACAGTGATTACTGTGATGGGAGCGCGAAGAATAGGCGAACGTGGGTACTATTACTACGAGCGATGATCAGAAAATGTGACTATCATAATCCCTTGACCCTAGTAAGACACAACGATGTGAGGTGACTATCAAATCCATATCAACTCTTCCGATCTACTAGATACCCCAATTATAGAGTAAACTCCTTTACGCTTCCCCCCACTTCAAAGAGTACTACACTTACAGTCGTTGTTTTATCTCCTCCTCACTAACCTCTGATGGAGGCAGTGTCGGCTCCGGCTCCTCCTCCTCATCTTCCTCCTCTTCCGGCTGCTCTTGCTTCGCAGGCTCCTCCTCCTCCTGAAACACCAACAGCCTATGTCAAACCCCCACATACTACCCATATATACAACACCGACGAGTACACTCCCTACCCCGACGTACCTTCTTATGCTCCACAGGAGCTTCCTCCATCGTCTGATCGCCCTCTCCCTCTTCTTTCCCCTCAGGTTTCTCCTCCTTATCACCAGCCTCCTTAGCAGCAGCCTCCTCCCTCTTCTTCCTAGCCTCCTCCGCCGCCTCTATACGAGCCTTCTCAGCAGCTCGGGCAGCCTCACGTACTGCCACAACAGGAAACACCAATCAATTCCAACACCGCCGTCACTATAATCCTAGGGTTCTGTGTATGAGTAAAATATGTCATCTTGTGCATGCGTGCACGGCGCGTGCTAATGACATACAAACTCTTCCACAACTTCTCCGAATTCCGCCAAAATCGGCTAGTGTCGAAAGACCCGTCCCCAAAATACTCCCCCCATGCGCGAGAATTCGCTGGAGAAGACGACCCCATGGACATGATCACGCAGGTTCGATCCCCGCAACCTACCTTTTTTCATTCTCTCTTTTTCCATCTGTCTAACCTTATACTCATGCTTCATCACATTAAGCTTCCTCTCCCTCTCCAACTCCTTCTCCGCCAAAATCTCCTCCCTCACTAACTCCTTCACATACGCCGAGTAATCCGGGGTTGGTTTACCAACACATACAACAGCAGTACCTACACCCTTCACAATGCTACAACAAATTGCAACGAAACGGGAATCCCCGAGCATTTAGTGGCTACAGTAATACTACAAGACACGTTAATGCTCATCCCCTCCGTTATTACGTTCTCTTCCTGGGAATTCCTCCATTATCTTATCCCTTTCCTCTTCCAACAACCCACCTCTTATCTCCACGAGCACCTACCACTACCACAATTTCAACAACTACTTATGCATCGCTCCGCTCAATCTGACCAGATTTTTGCGTCCATGAGGCATCCTGGTGAATTCCCTGAGCTGTTTACGAACAAAACCTTCATCAAGCGGCTGCACACCAAAGAGGAAGTCCGGACGGTCGTTCGAAGCGACAGGGCCCCGACGGATCGGGCGGAGGGTCGACGCCTTGAACCTTACGAAAGGAAATTCAGAAATGATAGACCGTGCCGCCTCCTCCTCCTCCTCCTCCTTTTCCTACCAATCGAACATGGTCCTCTCAGAGAGTTCGATGTATTTATAGGGGTTTTGTTTAAGGAAATAATCAACATAATCGAATACACCTTCATCAGGTAATCCAATGACCATAACAGCTTCGGCTTGACGACCATTATCATTATTATACCACGGGTTTAAAGATACATCATTCTCACTACTCTGTTGGAAGGATCGAATCTTGAATGGTAGAGGGACCGACACACCACCAAAGGCGCTGCTGCTGTTGTTGTTAACCACCCTCGGGTCATCCGCCTTATACCCGAGATTGGCCTCAACTCTGACGTTCTTGAAGGTTATTGTCGGATACAAATCCTGGCCGATTAACCTCTCTGGCAACTCTACCGGAGGACCAGCTCGAACACCATTCTTGAATAGTGATACCGTATTGCCGTGCTCCTTCGATCCATCAACATTCAGTACCACAGCCACTACGTCATTGAGACCTGCTCACCAAACTCACCAGGCGAATAAATGATGATCATTACCAAACGCAGCAGCAGGCACATTCGGTGCTATATGGGTTCCTTTAATAATGGTAGGGGCAGCTGAGGAGACAGACCCCCGTTGAGGAAATGCAAGATCGCAAGATCTCCATTACCTGACGTTCCTGGTGCGTACATTCTATGGTCAAGACCAGAATCGAATCCCACGCCGAGGTCCGAGGAACCAAGCAACAAGTCACCATCAAGAGTTGTGAACCCCACACGAAGGAGGTGCCTAACGAGAAGAGACCAGTATGAAATCCATCCTTCCGGAACAGGATTGACCATTTTTGAAACACTATATGGGAATATACCCAAATCATACACCTAAAGCGACACTCGGCCAAACATTCTGCCTGTCAACGTTCATGCCTTCGTTCGCCATTCCATCACGTTTGCTCGAGCCCCGTCGGTAACCCCATTTTCGCTGTCGTGCACTGCATGTGTGTTCGTCC